CCCCAGCCTTACACAAAGCTATCAGCTCTGTGGACTTTTCTGACTATTTATGTCGGACAAGGTCAGGATCGTTTAAACCGCTCTGCCTCTCTCAGCCCCTGCAGATGAGATAGCGCGGGAAAGGAGGGAGAAACGATCGATTCCCGCCGCCACGCAGATTTATTCCCCTCCTCCCCCCTGCCTCTTTCTTCTCCCTCATTCTCCCCCAATAGGTTTTTTTTTTGCACAGATCCAGGAGGGAGGGTCGCCATTGCCATTTGACGCCACCAGGCTCATCAGTCTCTTTAACACCCCGTGGCGTTTTAAAATACAGTAGCAAGCCTTTAAACTGGGCCACTTTTCTCCCGGTCCAAATGAGCGGCGTCCTCCCATCAATCTGAGCGGCTCGGGGTTTCAGAGGGCCGTGAATGGTGAGGCCTGTTGGGAGGAAGAGATTTAGACAGGGGAAGTGGCGGTTTGTATCATTCACATGGGGGTGTTTTACAAATGAAGCGGGGCACTTAATCAGGCTGAAGGCTTGATTGTGAAGTGGGCTGGGAAGGGGGTTTACATGGGTTTTTCTAAAGGCCAATAAAGACCCTGATATTTAGGGGTCAAAGTGGCTGATAGCTGATATTTAGTGCAACTGTTCAGTATCTGTGACATGGTAATCCTCATGTCAGTCAGCTCCTTTAGTCACGTGTCCTCTTTTCTTCAGATATCTTGGTAGTTCTGCTCAGATTTAGTTTTTGTATGTGGTGTTTTTGGTCTGTTTAGCCATCAAAAGAGATCCTCCAGGGTCCGCTATACAACAAGCACAATGAGTGTAACCTGATCGCCCGAGGTAGCCAAGCTAGCTAGAGCTAGCCCTGGTGTTACTACACTGTCAGCACAAAGACCACAATGAGCTGAAGGTTTGACATTGTCATTAAAATTGGGAGAATCCTATTGGTAGAAAATCCTAAGTCAATAAGCATAGAATTGGTTAAATAAATGACAGGAAGTTGAACAAATAAAGTAAAACCTAACCTTTGACTTCTCTTCATTATTCACTGATGCGAGTCAGAGATCTGGAACCAGGAAGACTGATCCTCCGATATATTTCCTTACTGAAAACTTCTGTTACAGACCACCTTGGCAGCCAAAGGTAGCCACACAACCACAACGTCCCGGGTTCGATACCGGCCTTGGCACCTTTGTTGCACGTCATGCCCTGTTTCTCCCATTTCTACACTGTCAAACAAAAGCACATTGACAAAATACTCCTCCTAAAACTCCTGATACACATTAGGGGGGACAAATAAAAAGTACAACACTGCACAAGACTGTTCTTTGTGATTTCTGTGTTTTTAGAAGAGGTAGCCAGCTAGGCGACCAAGAAAGAATAGCCTACAGTATACTGATACCTTCAA